AGTAGACCTCCATTATGACCTGGCTGTACCACTCTAGGGCGTCTATCCATAGGAGTGTAAATAGTACACAGGAGAGATGCCTGACACCATGTTTATTGTAGCTCTGTTCATAACTCCAATGCTGTGGATCAGCCAAGGTGGCCAGCATCCAGTGAATGGATAAACAAAACATGGTGTACATACACCATGGCGTGTTATTCAGCTGTAAAGAAGAATGAAATTACATCGTTTGTGGGAAAATGGATGGAAATTAAAATCATGTTGAGTGAGATAAGCCAAACTCAAAAAAACCAAATATTGCATCTTTTCGCTGACTCTACACCTAAAATGATGATGATAACGAAACTTGAGTATAAAGGGGGGACTGTCTGGAGGAGGGAGGGAGGAAGGAATGGATGGATAAATAGATACTCCTTTTACTTTCTATACAAGAATGAATCTTAAATTGTTAAATCTGTTGAAATCACCATAAGAAGGGGACTAAGGTAGAAAGGAGAAAAATAGAGATCAATTAATTTGGGCTATAATACCTATCTATATACATGGAAATGTCTCAAGGAACCTCCCTGTATAGCTATCTTAAACAAATAAAAATGTCATTTCTTTTCTTTTACAAACTCGGAGAACAGGAGGGCTGAACAGGTCCTGTCTGGGGCGGGGTGGGAGGGAGGGGGAGCTGTCACTAGTGGGAGAGGGAGGAGGTAGGGAAAAGGTGGAGAGTGAATATGGTGCAAATACTGTGTATACCTGTGTGTAAATGGAAAAATGAGACCTATTGAAATTATTCCAGGAATGGGGGGAAGGGAATAAAGGAAAATGATGGGGTGAACTCAACTATGATATATTTGATACAGTGTAAGAACTTTTGTAAATGTCACAATGTACCCCCACCCAGTACAATAATAAAATAAAATAACTAAAGACGTTGTTAATTTCTAAGAAAGAAAGAAAAAAATGAAGCCCATCAAGCAGTGCTTGAAAACAGGTGGGGGATGAGGGAAGGGGACTTAGAAAATATAATAGAGGAGATGAACTTGTTCAAAGTACACTGCACATATCTATGACATTATCACAATGAAATCCCCTTGTACTATTAATGTATACTAATAAAAAACAGTAGAAAGAGAGGAAAAAGAAAGAAAAGGGAAAAAAAGAGAAGAAAAAGTAGTCATTATTGCCTGAGGGCTAGTTTCAACAACTCTTGTCACAAGATGTTTAAGTCCCCTCATTCCGGAATCCGTGGTGACAGCAGAAGACAATAGCTCAGAGCAAAGGAGACAGATGCAAAATGGTAACAGCATTTGCGAACCCATGTGGAGACTCAGTGCTTTTAGCACTGTTAGAAGCAATCCTGGGTAGCTGGCCTAGGACCACAGGACATCTGAAGCTCTTCATTGGTTGTGCCAGGAGGGAGGAAGCTGGCTGAGGGTGGTCAGGGGTTGGGTTGAACCAGACCATAGTGGCCAGGAGGCTAGGTCCTTACTAGGTTAGGCGAAGGATAAAGAGAGAAGAAAGGGTGCATACAGGTGGTACAGGTGCCTGGTGAAAATGGATCAGGTGATTGCTATGTAGCCTTTGATTGCCATCCTATAGCTTCCCTGGTCTGGAGGAGAACCCAAGAGGGTAGCAGGCAAGAGCTGGGCACTCAGAGGCTCAATTGCCTGCAGGACTTGTTTCTTAGCTGTGCACTGCAGAATCTAGCAGATGCACAGCCGTCATAGGCACACAGTGTGATAAGGTGGAGACAAGCAGCTGGAATTAAAGAAGGCTAAGAACCCCCAGCCACGTGGTGAGCTGTGGTGTTTGCCAGTTGCTTAGTGTGGTGCTTGGCAACATGAATGTATGCTTGTCCTCTTGAGTGAAATGCTTGTATTATTCTTTCCAGGTGGGTCTGTGTAGGCCAGCACAGGCCACAGCCCTGAGCCATGGCCACAGAGGAATGTGGGGTCTGTGGGGATAGGGGAGCCCATACTGGCTCTGGAGAGGCACACAAGGTGACTGTGGCAACCTCCTTGGCTCCTCTAGGCTCAGCTTCTGCATCTGTGGATATTCTCCATAGTCTGGTCTAGAAGTTGGTAGCACCCCCTCCATGGTGTAAGCACCAGAGACCACCATGGTAGGGGCTGTTCTATTAGAACAAAGTGAACTGGGAATATTGCTGTCTTCCCTTTGTGTCTCTTAAACATGTACAGGTGAAGGAATGCCATAGTCACCAAGAAACATTCTGTAGTTGGTAAGTCACGCTGTCTCTTTGGATCCCATATCATGTAGGAAAACAGCCACCACTACCAACAAGGATCCTACCCACTCCAGGCATCTGTCAAACTGGTCAGCTTTGCTGGTATTTATCTGTGTACCTGGCAAGTTCCACCACTGCGAGTTTGTTTAGTGTTTTCTTTTTCCTGAGGGACAATGGGAATTGGAAGAGTGTAGCACAGACGCTCTGGTGTGGCTGGGCCTGGCATGGGGAGGCCCAGGGAGGGCAGCCAGTGGTCCCCAGGGAAGGCCCTGGACTATTACAGGAGGGATTGCCTTTATTCTGTAGAACACTGGACCATCTTCTCTGCCTTTTATTGGTTTTTTTTTTTTTTTTTTTTTTTTTTTTAGTGTGAGAATACTTTTTTAAATGAAATCCTTGGGAGCAGACCCAACAGATAAAAGCAGAGCTGAATTTGTTTGCCATCGTTAGGAACCCAGGGGTTCCATGAAAAGCACAGCTGTGGGCAGAGATCGCTATTCTAAAATATAAACAGAAGGAAATAAGGAGGGAAATAAAGTTTAATCTCAATATTAAAAAAAATAAAATATAAAATATAAGCAGGAGAGTGACATCATCAGGGTTGGGGCTTTGCACAGTTAAATTTAAAAAAATGAATGGCAGAAGCAAGTATGAGTTTGGAGAGGTCCAGATTGGCCAAGGACAATCAGGCTGCTTGTGGCAGTGGCCGGAAGCCTGGGGTGTTGGCATCAAGAGGCAGGCCACTCTGTCTTGGGAGACTCGACCCTGGCTGCAGGGGCTGCAGACTGAGGATGAGAGGCTAATTCTGTGCAGTGTGTAGGTAGGTACTCTCAAAGACTCAAAAGTCCTCAGCATACTGTTTCAAGCTTCAGTCCTCATTGTCATGGTGTTTCAAGGCATTTGATTTTTGTTTTTCTGTTGTTAAAGAAGTTCTTTTGAAAACAGTTTGAAATTTTGGTCTGTTAAAAAAATGAATTTCCTAAGTAGTACAGCTGGGCTAGATTTGGTTTTTGCTTTTGGTTTTGTTTGTTTGTTTTGGTGGGACTAGGGGTCGAACTCAGGGCTTCACACTTAACTAGGCAGGCCTGCTACCACTCAGACTACTCCATCTGCTCTGTTGTTTGGTTTTCACTGTAAATGTTTTGCCCCGTCGGTCACAGAAGCAGCCATCTCTCCATGGCAGCCAGCAGCCCCTGCTTAATCTGGCTTAGTTCCATGCTTAGCTGTTTTAACATGTGGGTGAGACAGAAACAATTCAATTAAGCATGCTTCCAAAGATGAGTTATTTTACATGTGAATAGATTGCAGAAAAATACTGGAAGTTTCTACTTTTCTGAGAAGTCCTGTTATTTGCATGTAGAAGAGGAAGAAAAGCAGCTCAACCCCTTGCACACGTTAGCAGAAACATTTCAGTTTATCTTTGCTTGGTTGTATTGTGTAGTTAGACAAGCAAACTACTTTGAAGTTGTAAAATTTAAAATGACTAGTTTGGAAATGTTAGGAAGAACCAACCCTCTTTCTGTTTGATACACAACATGTTGGCTTGTAGGTTAATTTATCACATACATACCAACTGTGTGTGCCACAGGCATGGATGCCTGAACTGGGCATGAACGCCTTCAGTTCTAGTTCTGCATTTTCTGGAGTGTGGCTTAACCGTGTTTTGCAACCTTGTTATGAATGGCCTGAAAGTTTCTATTTTATCAGATAGAGCGCTACTCCTTTCAGTTCCTGTAAAAAGACATGGCCCTCACTTGGTTTGTGTGAGACATTCAGCTCCTTCTCAGATAATCAGCCTACCTGTGTCGTAGTGAATGGGTACTCTGGTGCTACCTCCTGCAGTCCCTGCCCTGTTTGGGGTGAAACCCCCTTGCTCCTGAATCCCTGCCTGCCTTATCCTTGTCCCAAGTAACTTGTGTGGTGTTGACATCATTGTGCATCGGCCTTCCTCAGGGCCAGTGCTTTTGGGCCTGACAAGTCTTTAGACACCAGCTGGCCCCTGCTGCCACTGCCTGTCCCACCAGAGCCCCTAGACTGTTTATGAGCTAAGTTAGTTGCCTTCCTTTTTCATTCATGTCCCTTTTTTCTCTCATCTGGTTTTTGGCCCTGAAGCCTAATATTTATTTTTAGGTGTGTACCTCATATGTTCATAAAGTTATATTTTGCTTAACAACAGGAACACATTCTAAGAACTGTGTCACTGGATGATTTTGTTATTGAGTGAACATCATAGTGTGTTACACAAACCTAAACAGTGTGGGTTAATCACCTGACATGGCCTCTTGATGCAATCAAGGGACAGAGGTGATAAACATGGAATGTGTGAGACTACTGCTGGCCTAACATGGCATACTATTTTATAGTAACTTGAAGGTTTCTTTGAAGGAGAGTTTGTTTTGTTGTTTTTGAGACATAGTCTAGTCATGTAGCCCAGGCTGGCCTTGAACTCATTATGTAGTTCAGATTGGTCTCAAATTCACAATCCTGGCTGTTTTCAAGATATATTTTCCTTGTCTTTATTTCTAACAGCTGGACTGTGATGTGTCTCGGGGTGGATTTCTTCAAGTTTTTCTTTTTTTTTTTTTTTGGTACTGGGGATTGAACTCAGGGCCTACACCTTGAGCCTCTCCACCAGCCCTTTTTTTTTTTTGTGAAGGGTTTTTTCCAAGGTAGGGTCTTGCGGACTATTTGCCCAGGCTGGCTTAGAACCACAATCCTCCTAATCTCTGCCTCCTGAGTAGCTAGGATTACAGGCGTGAGCCACCAGCGCCCAGCCTTCAGGTTTTTCTTATTTGGGGTTGACAGAGCTTTTAAAATCTGTAGACGAAAAGTCTTTTTCCAGATCTGGGGAGTTTTCAATCATTTTGCAGCTTTTTTTTCAGCACTGCTCACTTTTTCCCTCCCTTCTTACATTCTGATGACACAGATGTTCAGGCGTTTTTCTCTTGTCCCAGAGCTCCCTCAGGCTCATTTTGGTTTTTTCTCAAACTTTTTTTTCTCTCTGCTAGATTAGATAATTTAAATTCACTGAATCTTCCTTGTTCTTGAACTAATGTACGGGGTGTTTCAGATTTCAGTGTTGTATCTTTTAGTTCTAAAATTTCCATTTGGTTCTTTTCATTTTTGGTTGGTTTGTTGCTGACCTTGAATGTTTTCATTTGATTTGGGAGTGATATGATTGTTTGTAGGACATTATCATATTAGGTGAGTTGAAGTCTGGTAGTAGTTGCCACCCGTGTTTTGTATTGGTGTTTTGGTGTCTGATAATTGTTTTCTTCTGTAGGAATTGAAATCTTCCTGGTTCTTTGTGTGCCGAGTTACTTCAATTGCAACCAGACAGTTTGGATATTGTGGTATGAGATGCTGGGCTTTATAAATCCCAGGAGGATACTGGTATTTTCTATTTTAATAGGTGAAACCACCTGGTTAGATTTAGGCTGCATTTTCTAGGTTGAGGCTCAATGTCAGTTCCATTTTCACAGCTTCTTTGGTACCATTTGAATCTGTCTCATTTGATGCTGCCATGGCCGTCTGAGACCTTGTATTGTCTCAAAGGTGTGAAAAGGATCAGATCCACACTTGTGCTGCCTGAGGATAGGCTGGAAATTCATGAGCAGTTTTGTGGGTTCACTTTTCCTCTCCACACTGCTCCTGGGACTTTCTGAGTCCCTGGGGCTTCCCTTTTCTGTTCTCTAGCTTAGGAGATTTAGCTCTGACCCTAGAGACACAATTACAGTATACTCAAGGCTGGCCATGAACTCCCACACTACCCTTTTGTCTTTAGCCCAGTACTGGAAGGAGTGATTTCAGGGGCTTCTGGTCAGTGACTTTTGGCCCACCTATTGCTCTTTCCTTCTCAGAACACTGCCTAGCTGCCCTGGGGCCCCATCCAGGCTCAGGGCTGCCCCCCAAATCCTATCCTGGGTCAGAGCTGACTGTGTCCTGTTGGAGTCAGAGCAGATTAAGTTGAAGGCAGGGTGAGGATGCCCACTCCACCCCTGGAGCTGGCACAACAGGTATTTCTGTGGTGTTGTCCACCTACATTTCCGTTCCTCTTTACACCAACCTTGGCATCTAGGCTTTCTCTCCCCTGCTTACCTCGTGCACCATGACTCTCCCTCCAGTGGTAGTCCCTGTGACTGCCTCATACTCCCTGTAATCCAACCTGTCTGTGCAGGACACAGCTGGTGGCCAGGGGCAAAGCTCTTTTCTTCTCCATCTTAGTCCTTAATGTGTTTGGAGGAAGTGCGTGGGAGGTGCTTCCCTCTAAACATACAAAGGGTTGTCAAACCATAGAGAGCCCTCAGCACCCCTAGCTAGTTCTGTGGCCCCAGAGAAGGGAGGGTGGCAGGAAGTGACAGCACATGTGCTGGCCTGTGTTGTCTGCACCAGGCTATCCAACAGGCCAGGAAGGAAAGGCTTCATGGGGACTCCCTGTCCCCTGGCCCAAATGTCCCTGGAATTCTCTCATATTCCAAGAACTGGCCATGATCTCATCAGCAATCCCCAGTGCCCTTGGGAAAAGGGGAAGGAACTAGGGGTCTGGGTGCCCAACCTTGGAAGGCTTGTCAGGTGCTCTCCACACCCAGCCTTCTTCATAGAACAGCTTTGAGTTTTGTTCTAGCCTAGGATGGCTGCCCAAGTGACACTAGAGGATGCACTCTCCAATGTGGACCTCCTGGAGGAGCTACCTCTGCCTGACCAGCAACCCTGCATCGAGCCTCCACCATCCTCACTGCTTTATCAGGTGGGTCCCTGAGCAGGTGTGAGGCATATAGCCAGTAGCTTGGACCTCAGTGTGATGGTTTTTCTCTTCCCTTCAGCCAAATTTCAACACTAACTTTGAAGACAGAAATGCATTTGTCACTGGCATTGCAAGATACATTGAACAAGCAACTGTCCACTCTAGCATGGTAACGTGGCCTCCATGTCTTTGTTCTCTCTGTGGGTTGACACATTTCACAAACAAAATGTACTTTTTTTGGTATTATCCTGATAGGCTGTTATGCATGTAGTGAGGAAAAAGAAAAGGAGATGAATGATGTACCTTATAGTTCTAAGAAAGTCTTTTGCTTTTTTTTTAATCATACAAGCTGTAGGCTCTTTTTGAACATTAGCATCTCTGGCCCAAGAAAGCCTTTACCAGTGCTCTGAGGGTGCCTATTCTGTTTAGTGCTCATTGTCTTTCCAGACCTGCACACACTATTACTATAATTACACATTTTAATGATTTCTGATCCTTTTCACGTGTCAGGAAAATGTGCCAGAGAAAGTCATCTTTAATAGCTGCATAGTCCATTTTGTTAGATATCCCCAATTGACTTTTATTTTTTTATTTACTTAGTTTCCCCCTTTGTGTAACTAAAAAAAAAAAAAATGCCATAGTGAACATGTCTGTAAATATTGGCTAGATTTGTAGAAGTGAAATTACAGGGTGATCATATCAAAGCATCTTTAAAAAGCTGTTTCCAGATTGCAGTTCACATTTTAAAGAATGTCTATGTGTTTTTTATTATTATTATTTTTTTACCAAAGGGAATGGTATGAAAGAAAGAGTAGAACACAAAAGCTGTTTTTAAAAATGACAGTTCTCTTCCCATGGATATTGTCTGTGGATTTTTAATGCCTCGGGAAGTTTAGACCTTTTCCTCTTACATACCCAGGGCTGGAAGCCCTGCCTATGAGTCCTCTCTGTGAACCCGGAAGCCTTGTGTGACCTGGAAAAGAGACTGAGGACTTTGTGGGTTTTCATGCTGCACTGGATAGGATGACTGCCCTGGGTCCTGTGGCCCTGCTCAGAGCTGCCTGTGTGTCACTCAGACCCCTCTCCAGCCTGCCAAAGCCATGGGGGTGTTTGGGGTTTTCATTGTGGTCCCACTGTAGCATCACCAGCTTCTTGGTAGGCTGAGGTCCCTCAAGGAAGAGTCAAGAGTAGTTTTCAATACTTTGTTCTAGATTTCAGTAACTTGGCATTTTCTTTCATATGCCTTTGATTTCTTTGATTTGCTGTGTGTCCTGCAGAATGAGATGCTGGAAGAAGGCCAAGAGTATGCTGTCATGCTGTACACCTGGAGGAGCTGCTCCCGGGCCATCCCTCAGGTGCCCTGCTCCATCCCTACCAGGCCACACCTCATCTCCCCTCTTTCCCCCACCTACCCAGTAGGAGCCCCAGCTGCAGCTGCCCTAGGTTCCCATTGACAAGTGTTTCTCTATTCTCAGGTGAAATGTAATGAGCAGCCTAACAGGGTGGAAATTTATGAGAAAACTGTGGAGGTCCTGGAACCTGAAGTCACAAAACTGATGAATTTTATGTACTTCCAGGTAAAACAGCAAATAATTGGAGGGATTTAATGTTGAGGAGTGGGAACAAAGGGCATATAAATTAAATCAACCATGACAGTTTCTGAGATAAAACAGAACTAAAGCCTTTGACTATCTGCTACTTTTCTCACCCATTCAGAATAAATTCTTCTTTTGTGTTTCAATTCTCTTCTCTATTTGAGAGTGAATTCATATTTCCTTTATAAAAGCCTGCTTCCTATCATTTCAAAGTGTAATGTGTGTCTAATATTTCAGGTGTCTTTTTTATTGTTTGTTTGCTTGCTTGTTTGTTTGTTTTTCTCTTGATGTTACTTTGACCATCCTGGTGACTGTTCCTTGTGGTCCTTACCTTGGCCTTGGCCTCCTTTGACCCTTTGGTGAGGCAAAAAGCGCCTGCATAGAGCTGAGTAGGGGCTGAATTTTTGTTTTATCTTAAAAGTTGCCAAGAGGAAAAATCTCTCCCACTTTTTCACATCTGAAAGTTATAATATCTACATTATAAATGCTTTATTGAAGTATTTTGCTCAACAGCTTTGCTGAGATATTCAGCAAAATTTTTTTACTTTAGGGACGTAGTAAATTGCAAAATAAATAATGGTTGTAACAGATCAAAACTTGAAAATTGCTTTACAGACATAGTGTCTACCTGAGACCCATAGGTGGGTATTTTATCAATGAGTAACAGTGAATGCAAAGTTGTGCTTGAAGCTGGGACATGGATTTGATGCACCACGGACCTGGGCTCTTCTGCCTTCCCTTTTGTCTGCTCAGAGAAATGCCATTGAACGTTTCTGTGGGGAGGTTAGACGCTTGTGCCACGCTGAGAGGAGGAAGGACTTTGTGTCGGAAGCCTACCTGATCACTCTGGGCAAATTCATCAACATGTTTGCGGTGTTGGACGAGCTGAAGAACATGAAGTGCAGTGTGAAGAATGACCACTCAGCATATAAGAGGTGAGCAATGACCTGGGGCATTCAGCGGGTCCACTCAAAGAGGGCCCATCTTAGCCTTGTTGGTAGCACACATCTCCTGTGTGCTAAAATCATCACTTTTGGCTGGCAGAAACAACTTACCAGTCTTGGAACTGTGTGAATACATGTTTCCAGGAATTAAGTGCAAGTGTAGGTGGTAGATTATGTAGCTGGAGAGGACTTAGCACTTCCAGATCAGCGTTATGTGTTTTGGGGGACCTCTGCCCTTGGGAGACATACACATACAAGATGGTCATGAAAGACAGGCATTTGGCTCAGAGAACATCTTGGCAAGGGGGTAGGTGACTTTTGCACCCCACAGGGGCCACTTGGGCATTGGAGCTGCAGTCCTCCAGAAAGATGTTACCACCTCTTCTTGACATTTGTGGGTTGAATATCCCTGGCAGGTGCACCATCACATTAGTGGGCATATGTGGCCCGTGGATTGGCAAGGGTAACTCATGGTCACGCTGAGCTTTCGGGTCCTCTAAGGAGCTCTTCTGGAAGCTTTCTTTTTGAAGCTAGAAAACGTCTGGAGAAGAGGCCAATGATAGGGGTATTCATCAGCTGCTTGTTGGTATAATGACGTACCTGAGACAGCCTAACTTTGTGAAAAAAAGAGGCTTTTTTAGCTCACAGTTTGGGAAACTGACAGTCCAAACAGCGTGGCTCAGATTCTCGAGGGCTGCTTACTTCTTGGAAGCATGTGCCAAGAGGGAGCAACCAGTCACCAAGCAGGACAGCAGAGACTCGAGTCAGGCTTGCAAGAACTGAGCAGATCCATTTCAAGGGTACATCCCAATTGACCTGTGGACCTGTTAAGGATTTCAGATCACCCCCAGTCCTGCCACCTTGGGGACCAGGCTCCTAACATGAAGCTTTATGGGGATAAACCACATCCAGACCACAGCAGGGAGGATTGTGAGGAGTGGATGTAGGCATGGCTTAACATATGCTTCTGGAACACTATGGGGGCTGTTAGTGATAGTGAGGTAGCTGTGTTTTATTTTTCTTTTTGGGTGGGGGGGTAACAGGGTCTTGCTATGTAGCTTCTTGAGTACTGGGGTTACAGGTGTGCACCAGTCACTATCCAGCTATAATTTTTTTTTTCGGTGTACTGGGATTTGAATCAGGGCTTCCACTTGCAGAGCAGGCACTGTACCCCTTGAGCCACACCCACACCTCCAGCCTATTTTGGTCTGGTTATTTTGGAGATGGTGGTCTTGTGAACTATTTATCCAGGTTGGCCTTGAAGCTCAAATCTCCTGATTTCATCCTCACAAATAGGATTACAGGCATGAGACACTGGTGCCCAGTTCCAGCTGTCTTTTAATGGACTTTCTTTACTAAGTCTGCTCAGTGCTATCTAAGGCAAGTTGGGCTGGAATGAGCTGCTAACTTCTCTTTCCTCTTGCTGAGCAAGGAATCTTGTTCTAAAATTAATTTGGAAGAGATTTTGCTTTACATCAGAATTCATTGTGCTTAAGTTGCCTCTGGAATCATAGAACTCTTTATGATAAAAGCAACTTGGACAAGACACCAGAGATTTGAGGAGGAAGAGGAGGCAGTTGAAGGTGAGCTAGATTTGTAGGAATGATAAGCCTTATATGAAATTAGCTCAGTGTTTCAGTCATCACTTAAAATCAGCTCTGCACAGAAGTCTAGACTTTCTGAAACACAAAATGATCTCTGGAGTTAACCCCTTCAGGTAGAAAAGTTTGTCCCCACTTGATAACAGTATTTGTGGTATGACACCAGTGTGTGATTGGCTGTCAGAGGAAGAGGAGGCTCTGGAGGTGGAACCTGCCCAGCTTCAGAGCATAGCTCCTGTTCCCAGCTGCACAAGTAACTAACTTGCCTTGCAATTTTGAGAGCTTAGAAAAATAGGGGGAGTAGGTAGCATCAGTAATTTTCAAAATTTTAAAGATTTTCTTTTTTTCTCTCTTAGCAGCAGGATCTTATTCCAGAGCCCAGTCTACAAACCAGTTTAGAGAAGCGGGGCATCCGACCCCTGTGGCCCCTCAGCTGTCTCTTCCTGTGAGCTTTATTGGCTAACATTTCCACTCTCCCCAGGCCCTTGAACACATGCACACACATATCCATTTCTTTGGCACCCAATTGGCAGTCATCAGTGCAACCTCTTGTGAGTGTAAATGTCACAATAACCCATAACGTTGTGGTGAGGCTTGATGAAAGCAGTGAACACTGTCCTTAACTCCTTTATTGCCCATCCCCCCACCTCTGCAGCTACTCAAATCAGGAAAATGACATAATTTAAGAAGGCAAGGGGTATTAGTATATGAGTTAATATTTTAGCAGTATATCATTTTTAATACAGAAACTAGTGTCTTAAAAATAAAGTTACAGTTTATTTCTCTTTTACCTAAAAACGTCCTGATTTTATTTTATTTTACTTTTTTAATTTTTCTTTTATTCATATGTGCATACAATGTTTGGGTCATTTCTCCCCCCTGCCCCCACCCTCTCCCTTACCCCTCCACTCCCTCTCTTACCCCCCCTTACCCCTCACTACCCGGCAGAAACTATTCTGCCCTTATCTCTAATTTTGTTGAAGAGAGAGTATAAGCAGTAATAGGAAGGAACAAGGGATTTTGCTAGTTGAGATAAGGATAGCTATACAGGGCATTGACTCACATTAATTTCCTGTGCGTGTGTGTTACCTTCTAGGTTAATTCTTCTTGATCTAACCTTTTCTCTAGTTCCTGGTCCCCTTCTCCTATTGGCCTCAGTTGCTTTAAAGTATCTGCTTTAGTTTCTCTGTGTTGAGGGCAACAAATGCTATCTAGTTTTTTGGGTGTCTTACCTATCCTCATACCATCCTTGTGTGTTCTCGTTTTATCATGTGATCAGAGTCCAATCCTCTTATTGTGTTTGCCCTTGATCTAATGTCGGCATATGAGAGAGAACATACGATTTTTGGTCTTTTGGGCCAGGCTAACCTCACTTAGAATGATGTTCTCCAATTCCATCCATTTACCAGCGAATGATAACATTTAGTTCTTCATCATGGCTGCATAAAATTCCATTGTGTATAGATACCACATTTTCTTGATCCATTCGTCAGTGGTGGGTCATCTTGGCTGTTTCCATAACTTGGCTATTGTGAATAGTGCCGCAGTAAACATGGGTGTGCAGGTGCCTCTGGAGTAACCTGTGTCACATTCTTTTGGGTATATCCCCAAGAGTGATATTGCTGATCATATGGTAGATCAATGTCTAGCTTTTTAAGTAGCCTCCAAATTTTTTTCCAGAGTGGTTAAAACATCCTGATTTGAATCGTCTACTGTTGACTAGGGAGCTCCTTTGCGTTCAAGACCCAGGGTTCCTGTTGTCCTCTTGTTCTGCCATTGTCATGTATTGCCTCATGGTCCAAGATAACTGCTTGAGCTCCAGCTGTCATTTCTACATCCTGGTCAGCAGGGAGGAAAGAGAAAATAAGGCTACATTCTCCCTTATAAGTATACTTTCAAATTCCTTACAATCTTTTTACGTTATGTGTCATGGCCCAGGCCTTGGTCATCTGGGCACATTTGACTACAGGGGAGGTAAGGCACATTGCTACCTCCCAGAAATTTTAGGCTTGGTCACAGGAAGAAAGGCAGGAAATGAATTTAGGGTACATTACCAGTCTTCATCATGGAAACTTTCCTTTAACAGAATCCCAGAGACTCTTAAGTTGCACAGACATATTCTTTAAGTGGGCAGTTTCTACCATATTTTCGTGGGGGACAGCTCTGGATGTGCAGACTCCTTACTCCCACCTCCACACTACTGTGTTAGACCTGCTGATTCAGCATGTACCTGCAGGATTATTGGGCCTCACTGTACAAGTTCTTTTGTGTGCATCCAATTATCAAGATGCACATGGTTGGCAGAGCCAGGACTCTGCAGACTTTGGGCACCACTGGCCTCTGAGACAGCATGACCAGGGAGAGGGACTCCTTACTGAGGTGTGGCAGGCAGCCCCTGCAGGAAAAGAACACCAACATTGCTGGTCATCCTCATTGCAGGGCTTATGGAAGTCACAGTGCAGGCAGTGGGCCTTCAGTGACTTGGGGGACAGGGAGCCCTTGCTCCTCAGATGTGGCAAGCATTTACCAGTACATGCCCAGTGTACAGTTGCCCTTCAAGGAAGTCCGTTGGCTGGGGACAGCAGGGTGATAAGCTCTTTGGAGCTGTGTAAGGCACATCTAAGTTGACAAAAGACCCCCTGGAGTTGAGGCTGGACACATACCAGGAGGCTGAAATCATAATTAGCTTCTACAATCTCATTTCTACAGATAACTGCACATAGAAGAGAGGACTTAGATAGGAGAGGAGTCCTGACTTTCCCAAGCTTTTGTTTTTTTAATCAGCATGTTGGTGCATTTTGAGATTAACTGTTTTTGCTTTCTAGGGCTGCTCAGTTTCTACGCAAAATGGCAGATCCACAGTCCATCCAGGAGTCCCAGAATCTGTCCATGTTCCTGGCCAACCACAACAAGATCACACAAGTAAGACTTGTGTTCTCAGCGCAGTGTCAATGAGCTGTTTTGTCAGCGGTGCTAGGAGTAGGCAGTGGCACACATCTCTTCCTCTCTGTTTAAGTCTCTGCAGCAGCAACTTGAGGTGATTTCTGGCTATGAAGAGCTCCTGGCAGACATCGTGAATCTGTGTGTGGATTACTACGAGAACAGAATGTACTTGACGCCCAGTGAGAAACACATGCTTCTTAAAGTACGTGCCATAGCTAGCATGGAGGAAGCACAGTTGTACACAAAGGCTGCACTTCATCTAGGATCTTTTTGCCAACTTTTCTTTATTCTCATGGTGTCAGGTATGTGTCCTGCCTCTGCACACAGTCTGCACTGCAGACTGTCGGCACATCCCATGAGTGTGTCACAGTGAGTCACACACCAATGCTGGGAGAAGGTGCTCATGGGCCAGAGGTCCTGAGTCAAAGGTTCTCTCAGCAGAGCTCCTATAAGGCCCCACTTGTTAAAGATGTGTCCCTTAGGAGTTAAGGGTCCCTTACTATCTATGGGAAATTGGTTCCAAGACCCTTGATACCAAAATTCATGGATGCTCAAGACCTTTAAGTAAAACGGCAGAATATTAGTGTGTGCCCTATGCACATTCTCCCATCTGAATCATCTAGAGTGCTTAGAATACCTAGTGCAGTGTCCATGCTATGTAAATAGTTTTTATATTATTTGGAGAATAACGACAAGAAAAAAGTTTGTACATGTTTAGTGCAGACAATTTTTTTTCTTTTTGTAATATTTTTGATTTGTGCTTACTTGAACTCAAGGATGTAGAACCCTGAAGATATATTACATTATTATAATTAAAGTAGGCTTTTGCTCCTACTTTAATTCCGTATTTTTTAAATCATTATTCTGTTTCAAGTTGAGGAGGTTTTCAGCTAGGTTTCTCAATGGAAAGATGAGACAGCAGCTCCGATTTTCTGTTTGCTCTGCTCTCCACCTCCACCCAAAGTGGCCCTAGAGGACCCTCTGTTGGGTGTCTCGCTGGCTCAGCTTCAAGAGAGCATGGTGAGGTGGTGAGGACTTGTGGCAGTCCATGGGGTGCTCTGTGACAGAAATGTCATGACCGTGCTGGCTGGTTGAGAGCTCTGGCTGTGAGTCCCATAGAGCATGGCAAATGCACATGTGGCCAGGGTCATGTTAAAGATTGTTAGTTTGCATTCATGAAACTTGAGCAGTTACAGGTAGCTATATCTTGGGCAGTGCATCTCTAGATTAGTTAGGTTAAGCTAGTAGGAGATTTGCTTCTTTGTCTTTTTTAGCAACTAGCTGGGAAACCACAGTACGCTTTGTAAAGTGATTTCAGTAAGGAAAAAAACAGTTCAGAGCACTAGCCATAGACTGTATTTTATGAAATTATTTTAGGGAACTGGGGATAGAAGATACTATGAATTGCAATAAGCATTTTTAAACAGAGCTACAACTTAACATACACACACCTGCCACTTTCAGTGTGAGTCTGATAACTTCTAAATCTGACTCTGAATAATGTTGATTGTTAAATATTCTAAGCTGATTGTGCATTTGATCATCCTTGATAATGATACCCTGGGAACAGTGCTTTATTTATCCTAGCACCTACTTTTGGTGGCATGAAGATAATTCTGAAAGACTAGAACTGATGTCAGTATTTGAGAACCCTCTTGTAATTCTCAGCTACAATTGTCCACAGTGGACAAGCTGTGCTTGGTGAGAACTGGTACTTGTATGTGTGCCTTGAGAGGAAGCTGAGCTCGCCAGATGAAAAGCTTCATCTGGAAGGATAGCCCTTTATTCCTTAGAAGCTTTTAAAAATGCCTTTTAAAAGAAAAGTGACTTGTGATTTCAAAGTTATCCACCAGATTAGGGTAAGTCTGTATGGGTAAATTTGCAGGTCTGGGTGTTATTGTTCCATTTTTATGGCTTTTCAGGTTATGGGATTTGGTCTATACTTGATGGATGGAAGTGTCAGTAACATCTATAAACTGGATGCCAAGAAAAGAATAAACTTATCCAAAATCGACAAGTACTTCAAGGTGAGTTTTATATATACATACTTTTTGAGAAATGTTTTTGTTCAATCCCCAGCAGTGGAGTAAAAAAAAATGTTTTCATTGATGTATACAGCTTGAATTTTTGCCAAGTGAGCTCCTGTACGATTGTGATGCATAGCAGGAAATACAGAAGCAAGAGAAGGTCGTGGGGGCTCATTCTCCCATCTGCAAAGGTTGCTCCTTATTTCCTGTTTGCTACATTCATTTTACATGGATTCAACATTATATAAGTGGAATCCTGCCATATTTCATATTTTTTTTCTTTTTTTGCTTCTGGCTGCTTGCACTGCGTAGGTTTATGCAAAGGATCCTTGCAGGAGCCTGGGATTTTAGTTCTTAGATTTTCATTGTGATACATAATTTAGCTATCCATTCTGTTGTTTATGGGTGTTGAGTTGTTTCTGGGTTTTGACTAGTACAGATAGTCCTGCTCTACTTAAGTGCATTTCTATTGGACACATATTCAGGAAAGAGGCTGGGATTCTAGGGAACATCTACTTTCAGTGTTGTCACAGCCGAATGACTTCCTGAGAAGGCTGTCTTGATTTGTATTCCCAACAGCAGTGGTGAATTTCCTGATATTCCATGTTCTCAACGGTACTTGGCACTATCTCTTTTGAGTAGATGGGGCTATCGTGAAGGATGCATATACGTTCTTGTGGTTTTATTGACTATAATTTCCTGATAGTTTATTTGATTGTCCCTGGTTGTTATCCATGCTGTTAGCCTTTGTGTGTTTCTTTTTTTTTTAATGATACTTAAAGTCTCTTGTTCTTTTTTCTCATATTGATTTGTAGTTTTTTGTATATTCTGAGATACACGCTTTCTTCCCAGTGTGGTTTCGCTTTTTCATCACAGCTTTACTGTACAATTGGCAAATAAAAACTGCATATAGTTATGGCATACAATGTGATGTTTTGATATATGTATTCATTGGGAAATGATTAAATCACACTTGTATGTGTACTTACCATGTCACATACTTAAAATTTTTTGTGATAGGAACAAATGCAAATGTATTCTGAATTTCATTTATGCAGGGCAACGTTGCTAAAAGCTGTCACCATGCTGATCCTCAGAGCTCACTTGTCCTACATAGCTAAAACTTAGTACCCTTGGACCAACATTTCCCCTTTTGCCTGCCTCCTTTTAACCTCCTTTATTGATTGATTGGGGTGTGTGTGTGTGTGTGTGTGTGTGTGTGTTGCTAAGAATTAGACCCAGAGCCTCACACATGCTAAGCACAGGTTCTACCATAGAGTTGTACCCCAGCACCACCTTTTCACTTTCTTCATGATGTCATTTATTGAACAAGAATTTCTTGATTTTATTGAATAATGTCTACTTTAAGAAATCTTTGTAGGCAGCAGCACATCATGAGAATTTTCTACTGTGTTACTTTCTACAAACATTCCATTTTCTTCTAGATCCATAATCCCTCTAGAATGGTTTGAGTGTACAGTGTGAGTTAGATGCTGACATTCCTGGCAGTTTTGCTAACATGGATATCCAGTTGACTGCTCATTTACTGCAGACACCATCTGTTCTCTGTTGTTTTGTACCCTTACCCAGGTCATAACTCTGTGGCTTTGTCCAGGTTCTCAGTCTTGTCCTCTGGCCTTTGGTCTTGTTCAAGAATCAAACTACCTTAACTGCTGCAGTTTTCTAACAGGTGTACTCATCTGGAAGAGTATGTCTTCCAGTTTTGTCCATTAAGATAGTCTTGGATATTATTCTTTCACCCTGGGTTCATTCCCAAGCACCACCTAAAACACAGAATATACATGAACATGATATATTGCTCCTTCATTGAGAATTTTCTCTAGAATTTTTGGGATAGTATTTTTGTTTTGAGGTTTTGCACATCTTTTGTTATCTTTACTCATGCATATTTTATGCTATTACAAATTATTTCTCTATAGATTTTCATTTTCTACTTTGTTGCTAGTATACAAAACTGCAATTGTTTTTATTTTAATGATCATGGTTATACCAATAGAATAGGTTATTTCTAACATCTGAATACTTTCTCCCTATATTGGTTCTTAAATTGTATTTTGTTCTTTTCAAAGGGAGTATAGAAGAGGTAGCAAACTAATTATTAGCATTACTCCTTTTTCCTTTTGCTTATGTATTTCATGAATAAACATACGTAATGACCCTATTTTTGTTTGTTCTCTGAATACAGCAGCTCCAGGTGGTTCCACTGTTCGGGGACATGCAAATAGAACTGGCAAGATACATCAAGACCAGTGCCCACTATGAGGAGAATAAGTCTCGGTAGGAGGAGAGTAATGCTGCATATCAGAGCTTCTTGCATTGTCTGGGCACTAACACAGCACCCTTATAACTAGAGTTTAACTTTTTACATCCTTAGCATTCCAGAAGTTAATATCCAATACAGTAACACTTGCTACAGTAGATTTAAATTCATTGAGAAATACAGTTAAAATTTTAATTTCTATTGTAGAACAATCACATTTCAGTGTTTAATAGTCACTGGATATGGTATTGGACAGCACAGATTTAGAACATTTTCATCATTCCATGGATTTCTACTGAATTGTGTTAGTCAAGAATACAGAAGTGTAAAATAACTCTGTGCCCAGTGATGTGTGATAAATTCTTACCCACAACCCCACAGAGGGGCAGATGGTATGCATGAATATTAACAGTTTACAAAACTACCATCTGAGGACTAAATGAGGTGAGGCCTGTTTTTGTAAGGACCCTAGAGGTGCGAATGATCTTAACACTTTTCAAAGGACGGCTTAAAGAAAAAAAACATCCTAAAATGTTTATTCTTTGGCCCCATATAGAGAAAGGGTCTAGACCTCACTATTACAGATCACCCTAAATACACATTACTTTTTTTGTAAATTCCATATAGCCATTGAATCTCATAGCCTCTTTTCATTAATTTTTGCCCAGTGCTTGTACCCATAGCTGACCAGTAGTCACCATTCAGCCGTGGTTTTGACAAATCTCAGTCTCAGTTGTCAGCAGACCACTTATGTACAGGCCAGATAGTAAATCCCCAAGGCTTTAAGGGTAGTCTCTATCAAATATTTTTGTTTGCTTTGTTTATATCAACACTCTTGTAAAATCCGTTCTATAGCACTAGTGCCGTGCACACAATGCCTTCAGCTTCCCCAGCCTTGGTGGTGCATAACTGCTCTGTTGGTGCCTCTTCAGGTAACACAGAGCTTTACCTTTCACATCCAGGTGGACCTGCACATCGTCAAGCAGCAGCCCACAGTACAACATCTGTGAACAGATGATCCAGATCCGCGAGGACCACATGCGCTTCATCTCTGAGCTGGCACGCTACAGCAACAGTGAGGTACACACCTATTGTTCATTACCATAAGACGCAGAGCCAGATGGGCTCCCAAGTGAAACCTGTATTCCTTGAACCCAAGCATTAACTTCAATTGCTTTTAAAAATGTAATCTAGTACCATATCAAAATACTTTTTAAAAACTGCCAGTTATAATAGATGAGGCTGTGAAACTAACATTTTCTATATCTGCTCAGCTATAAAAAAAAAGTAAAGGAAAACATGATAGGCATTCCAAAAAAAAAGACTGAGGAGTGACTGCTAATTTACTGGCCCTTCCTAATCAATACCATGCTTTCAAGCAGCTAAAAGAGGAGTGGAAAAGGGTGGGCACTAGGGAAAGAAAGCACACTTCTGACCTGTGGCTTCTTTTATGTTTAGAAGGGAAGGATGTCCCAAGGCTAGAGGCAAGAGGAGCCTCTGGGTTGGTGGCAGGGGACATACTCCAGGCAGTGGGGCCATGTGTCTGGGAGGCAGGCCTAAAGTTGAATGTAAGAAAGGGGACTTTCTTCTCTGCATTGAGGTCTTTATACTTCCTTCCAGCTTTGTAATCAGGTTGCCCATGTCCTATTTTGGCCACTCACATTGTCTCACCTCCCTGCTGTGTGTACCTAGCTTATGGGGTAGACAGGAGGGTAGTGACAACCTTGGGGAAGGTCTGATCTGAAAGACCAGTGGAATCACTCCACACATTTTAGTGAACCATGCAGTAAAGATAGAGCCAATGTGACCACAGCTATGCGTGTGTTATGAACAGTCTGGAGGGACCTAGGGTGCTGGACCTAGGGTATTTGGAATTGCTTGGTTCTCAGGGTTCACACAGGACCATTGACATTAGTGATCAACTCTGTGCTTATTGGCCCCACCCACTGAAAGACAATGAGCCTCCTTTCCCCTCACCCATCACCACTACCACACTGTCCATGACTGAAAGAAGAGACTGGTTGTCCAAATAACTAGTGCATGTGCTGTCTCCAGTGCAGACCCCTGGCTAGGAGCTGAGATTGCTCCCAACTCAACCCTCTTCAGCAGCTAGTACAGACCAGAGGTAGAAATGGGGCTAGCCTCCCCTTCCACTCTCCACCTGTGACTTTAGGATATGATTATAAACTGAGTTTTGGAAAGCCCTTAAACAGCATGAACAACTGGAGTATGTATACACCTCCAAATAAATGTTTTACAGTGTGCATTTCCTGTCTTCCTACTGGGATCCGCCATAGTACCTTTATAATAAGATAATGGTTTTAATAAGAAAAAAATTACCCTGAATCCTTTGCTCAGTTTATTTATGAATGGCTTATGGAGATACAGTGTATGTACAGTATAATTTATTGATTGAGGTTCTACAACTAAAAGATTTTTGGTTCATTTACTGAGCTGTGCAACCATCACCACAATCCATTTCTTAACATTTTTATTACCTGTAAAAAAAAAACCTCAAACCATTAGCAGTCACTTACCATTCATTCTCCCCCAACCTTGCTTCAGCTCCTGGTAATCTACTTTCTATCTATGGATTTGCCTTGTAGATGTTTCATCTAAATGGAATCATACAGGAGCCTGCATGACTGGCTTCTTTCACCTAATATACTGTTTGCATATTTCTTCCATACTGTAGTTTGTATCAGTCCTTTCTTTTTGTGACTGAATGATATTCTGTTAAGTAGATAAACCACCTTTTGTTTACCCATTTGTCAGTTGATAGACATTTAGGTTCTGACTAATGCTATGAAAGTAAGTGTATGCATTTTTGTGTGAAATAGTCATCGCCTTGCTCTCAGGTAGATCTTCAGGAATGGACTAGCTGGATAATATAATAATGATAACTCTATGTTGAACATTTGAAGGAACGGACAGACTGTTTTCAAAGTGGCTGTGGCATTTTACATTCCTATCAGTTGTGTATGAGGATTGTGATTTCTCCACATCTTTATCAGCCCTTACTATTTTTTGTTCTGTTGGGTTTTTTGTTTTGATTCTGGTGAGTCTGAAGTGGTAGCTGGTTGTGTTTTGGATTTGTATTTCCTTGTTGACTAATGATGCTGACCATGTATTTTCTATTTTTTCCTTTTTTTTTTTTTTTTTCGGTGCTGGGGACCGAACTCAGGGCCTTACGCTTGCCAGGCAAGCGCTCTTCCACTGAGCTAAATCCCCAACCCCATGACCATGTATTTTCATGTGCTCATTGGCTGATTGTACATCTTTTGGGCAGAAATGTCTATTCAGAGGGCTATGAGGATAGCTTAGTGGTAGAGCACTTGGCTAGCATGTGTGAGGCCCTGAGTCCCATCCTCAGTGCCATGGGAAAAAAAAACTAAAGGCCAGCCATGGTGGCCCATGCCTGTAATGCCAGTACTCTGAAGGCATAGACAGGAGGATCATGAGTTCAAAACTAGCCTGGTTCCATCGTGAGATGCTCAAACAAAACAAAACAAAAATCTACTCGGATTCTTTTCTCATTTTGTATTTTTTGCTTGTGTGACTTTGGGATAAATTCCTAGTGTGGGTTTGATGAGTGGGAGTGTAATCATGATGCAGTGTTTCACCTGATGCCTAAGCCTATGTGTCCTAGGTGGTCACCGGGTCAGGCCGCCAAGAGGCCCAGAAGACAGATGCCGAGTATCGGAAGCTCTTTGACCTGGCTCTGCAGGGCCTGCAGCTGTTGTCACAGTGGAGTGCACACGTGATGGAAGTGGTAAGTGCTAGCCTTTTTTTTTTGCAAAACAGCAAGACTTTATTGAAAAAGGGGAAAGAAAGAGTAAGAGGAAACACTGCAAGAGAAAAAAGCAGCAGGCTCTGCCAGGTGGCATGGAAGCCAGTACTGGTATGTTTGGAAATTCTAGGGCAGTCAACTCTGGTTGCCTAGAAGTGCTTTTCTTCAAGAACTTGTCAACATTGGCTAAGTGATATTTTTTTTTTCTGCATTAGCATTTATCTTTGGATCCAAAACAAATAATTCAGCATTTGTCTTTGTCCCTAGAAATTACCATATGTATTCAAATCTGTTTCTAAGGTGACTCAATCCATTTCATTTATCTGTGATGTAAATAAAAGTCTCATCTTTTGAGAAAAATATATATCTGTATAAATAATTCTAAGGTAACTCAAAGTGCATTTCTTTTTTGTATAACAAGTTTTTCCCTTTTGGAACTTACTCAAGTCAACTAAGAGTTGTCTAATTGGAAGAGCACATGATCATTTCAAAGGCAAATTCCTTTTTAAATTCTGTTGAAGTGAGTAAACTCTTAATTATTTAACACACAATAGCAAGGCCATTTTGCAGGATGTAGCTTTTAAGCCTGACTTACTTGGCCAGAGTGTTTTGCCCTTTTTTGGAGGGGGCGGGGTGTGTGTGTGTGTGTGTGTGTGTGTGTGTGTGTGTGTATGTGTGTTTCAGAATGCAATTCATATTAAAAGGCTCACCTTTTGGTGACCTTGGCAAGAAGTCAAGCCATCAGTGCAAACTGTCTCTACTCTTTCTGATCACACCAGTATTCGTGGAAACTCGTCCACCCAACTGACAAGTACTCCAACAAGGACTGCCCTGACAATGCTGAAGAGTATGAGCGGGCGACACGCTACAACTATACTAGTGAGGAGAAGTTTGCCTTGGTGGAGGTGAGGGCGTCTGTCTGCTTTCTCTTCCTTATGTGACTCTGGTCTTTCCTTTCAAAAGCAAGTGCAAAAACATGAACAAAATGCTTATCTTACGTTCTTGTTTGCATGAAGGGCATCCCTTTGCATCTATCAGAGAGACAAAGGGGTGTTGGTTCTTGTGTCTGTGCTGACAGGCCCCTGGTGAGCTGATCTTTAGCTCCTTTATTGATTATGAGTGAAGAGTTGGGTTAAGAATGCAAGATGAATGAATGGGAACTGGTGTTTACCACATGAAAGGAGAACAGGCTATGGGTGTTTCTTTCCCATGGTGGCCTCCAGCTCTTGGTTTCACACTTGTGGCTTAGCTCTGCTCTGTCCTCCTGGGCCTATCGATGGTGGAGTTCTTAAGTTACCAGTGTCAACCCATTTCTTTCATAGTTGTACTTTTTCTGCCTTGTTAAAGAAATCTTTGCATAGTGTAAGCCATGAAAGTACTCTGTATTGTCTTCTGGATGTTTTAGTTTTGTATTTTACATTGAGATCTGAAGTTGGTTTTTTTTTAAAGGGGTGGGGGTTGGGGTTGAGGGAAGATTTGGTGGTTTGAGGGGGTTTGAACTCAGGCCTAGTGCTTGTTAAGCAAGTGATCTGTCCCTTGAGCAATACCTCCAGCTCTTTTTCTCTGGTTATTTTAGAGATAGGGTCTTGCTTTTTTGCCCAGGCTAATCTAGACTGTGATCCTCTTATTTTAAGCTTCTGACCATCGCTAGGATGACAGATGCATGCCACCACACCCTGCTGTTTTCTGATGAGATGGGGGTCTCTCAGACTTTTGCCCAGGCTGGGAACCTTTATGTTCCTAATCTCAGCCTCCCACTTAGTTCAGGATGACAGAGCATGGCACTGTGGGAAGTTATTAGTTGAGATGAGAACTTGCAAACTTTCTTTTTTTTTAATCCATACTGGTCTCAAACCATGATTTTCCTGATCTCTGCCTCCCATGTACCTAGGATTAAACACATGACACTGGCTTCTGACTTTGATGTTAATTTTTGATGCACTTCCCCAGTCTGTCTGTCCTTGCCCCAACACCATTTACTAGCTTCGTCATAATCTATCATGTCCCAGCACATTTTTTCTTCTTCAAGAGTTCCTTGGCTATTTTTGTCCTTCATATTTTCATAGAGTCTTCTTTTTATATCTCACAGTAACCTATTGGAAATTCTTACCAGGAAATGAATAAGCCTATGGAGCATTTTAGGGAAAATTGACTTCTAACATTAAGTCTTTTTGAGTATGCTATGTCCCTTTGTTTATTCAGATTATCTCTAATTTCTCTCTTAGAATCTCTAGAATCTTGGATTTTTTTAAAATTTGCTTTATGTGTAGATATAAAAGTGTTTCTAGACTTATAGGTGGTATAATATATTTCAGGGTTGGGGACGTCACAACATGTAGGTAGCCCAGGCTGACCTACAACTCACTGCGTAGTTCTTTACAAACTTTACTTCTCATTTTTTGAATGTGGTCTTCATAAAATAGCTCATGGAATATTCCTCTGTTTTCTCATTTCTGGAAAGTTTTGTGTAAGATTTGTCTTGTTTCTCTATTGAATGTTTGCTGGCATTTTACTATCGAAACTTTACTTTCCTTGGATGTTTTTCCAGTTTCTTCTCTGTGTAGTGGAATATTCAGATTTTTCACTTTCCTTTTGTTTTGACTGGCAGAGTGGCTCAAGTGGTAGAGCGCCTGTCTAGCAAGCATGAGGCCCTGAGTTCAAACCCCAGTACCACCAAAACAAAACAAAACAAAAAACTAATTTTCTTTTTTTTTCTTTTGGTATTGTGGCTTGAGGCACTGTACCACTTGAGCCATACCACCAGCCCTTTTTGTGTTGGGTTTTTTCAAGATAGGGTTTGCAACTCTTTGCCTGGTTGACCTTGAACTGTGATCCTCTTGATCTCTGAGTAGCTAGAATTACAGAGGTGACAGTGGCGCCCATCCTAGGTCCCAGATTTCAATTTCTTGTATTAGTTTTGGTAAGTTATGTTTCTAGAAGAATTTGTCTACATTTTGTTTGTTTTTTTTTTTTTGCGGTACTGGGTTTGAACTCATGGCCTACACTTTGAGCCACTCACCAGCCCTCTTTTGAGAATGGGTTTTTTAGTACCACCAAAACAAAACAAAACAAAAAACTAATTTTCTTTTTTTTTCTTTTGGTATTGTGGCTTGAGGCACTGTACCACTTGAGCCATACCACCAGCCCTTTTTTGTGTTGGGTTTTTTCAAGATAGGGTCTTGCAAACTCTTTGCCTGGTCTGACCTTGAACTGTGATCCTCTTGATCTCTGAGTAGCTAGAATTACAGAGGTGAGCCAGTGGCGCCCATCCTAGGTCCCAGATTTTCAATTTCTTGTATTAGTTTTGGTAAGTTATGTTTCTAGAAGAATTTGTCTACATTTTGTTTTGTTTTTTTTTTTTTGCGGTACTGGGGTTTGAACTCATGGCCTACACTTTGAGCCACTCCACCAGCCCTCTTTTGAGATGGGTTTTTTTGAGATAGGGTCTCGTGAACTATTTGCACAGGCTGGCTTCTGCGATCCTCCTGATCTCTGCCTCCTAAGTAGCTAGGATTACAGGTGTGAGCCTCCAGTGCCTGGCTACATTTTTTAATTTTTGCCATGAAATTTTTCATAATCAGTTCTCATCCTGTTTAGTGCCAGTGTTTTTTTCTGCCCACAAACCATTCAGTTCACTCATTAATAGTATAAAATTCAGAGTCATACAAATATAATCAAACTTACGACATTTTAATTTTCTCAAAAGAGACACCCTATACTCTTTAGCCATCATTCTCCATCAACATCCCTCCTTTCAACAGAAAGCAACCACTAATCTACTTTCTGACTCTAGATTTGCCTGTTCTGCTGAACACTTCATGTAAATGGATCATACAATATATGGCCCTTTGAGATTATTTCTTTAAGTTAGCATAGTGTTTTCAAGGTTCACACAGGTATGTATTTTGTACTTTTTACTGCTAAATATTATTCCATTCCATGATTATATCACATTCCCTTTTTCTGTCCAGTTGAGGAATATTTGGATTGATTCTACTTTTTCATAGTTACGAATAATGCTAGTATGAATTTTTGTGTACACTCATTTTATTTCTTTTGATTATATACCTAGAAATGAAATTGCTGGCTCTTAAGGCATTTAACATTTTTAGAATCTTAGATAGTTTTCTGAAGTAGCAGCACCATTTTGCATTCTTACCAGCAAAAAATGAGGCTTTCTGTTTCTCCACATCTTTACCAGTACTTGTTTTTCTTTGTTTATTTGCTTTGAGACAGGGTCTCACTTTGTAACCCAGGCTGGCCTCAAACCCTTGATCTTCCTGTCTCTGCTTCCCAGATGCTACAATTGTAGGCCTGGCCACCACACCCAGGTGATTTGCATTTTTCTAACATGCTATTCGGCATCTTTGCATGTGCTTATTGGTCATTTCTGTATATTCTTTGGAGAGATATCTCTTGCTTAAATTCTTTCCCCAAGCTGGGTGCCAGTGGCTCATATCTATAAATCCTAGCTAATTGGGAAACTGAGATCAGAAGGATCAAGGTTTGAGGCCAGCCCAGGCAAATCGTTCATGGGACCCCCATTGTCAAAATAATCAGAGCAAAAATGGCCTGGAGGAGTGGATCTCAAATAGTAAAATGCCTGCTCTGCAAGTACAAAGCCTGAGTTCAAACCCCAGTCCCACCTCCCTCCCCTAAAAAAAAATAAGCTTTCCCTATTTTGAAAATTCGGATTGTTCTTTTTATTATTGAGTTATCAGAGTTGTTTGTGTATTCTAGATATAAGTTCCTTATTAGACATGAATTTCAGTATTCTGTCCCACTCTCTGGGGTTTCTTTTTACTTTCTTAATGGAGATCTTTATAAGCACAAAAGTTTTTAATTTTGGTGATGTCTAATACATGGGTTTTTTTTGTTTCTTTTTTGTTCCTTGTGCTTTTGGAGTCATATGTAAGAAGCCATTGTCTAACCCAACCCACGAAGATTCACTATTAACATTTTGTCTAGGAATTTTACAGTTTTACCACTTAATTATGATCTATTTTGAGTTAGCTTTTTTTTTTTTTTTTTTTGGTGGCACTGGGGTTTGAACTGACCTCACACTTGCAAGGCAGATGCTGTTACTGCTTGAACCACTCCACCAGCCATTGAATGAGCTTTTATACATTGTGAGGTAAGAGTTATGTCCAGAGTTCCTTAAGACTACCCTCAAGCTCAATGATTGGCTGGAACTCAAGGGACTCAGTGGTTGTTAAACATAGGGTTATGCTTTATTGCAGTGAAAAGTCATGGTTTCCCTTTATTGCAGCAAAAGGAAAATGCACAAGTGTGTGAGTGACATCCAGGAAAAAATAGGTGCAAATTCCAGGGGTCCTTTACTAGTGAGGTTGCAATGGTATATGTTTGTCCCAGCAGTAATGTGTGACAACATGAATCAGGTATTGCCAGCCAGGTCAGATCACCTGAGCCTTCCTGTCCAGGGTTTTTATTTGGAGCTAGTCACATAGGCAAGCAGAGCCTGGTGGTTGACCTTAGCTACTCAGACCCTACAACCCCAGACAATCACTGTTAGACACACTGATACCATGGTCAGTTAGTCAGACTGGTACATCAGTGGTCCAAGGTCTTGGACATATAAAGAACATTCTTTTTTTTTAATTGTTTTATTATTCGTATGTGCATACAAGGCTTGGGTCATTTCTCCCCCCTGCCCCCACCCCCTCCCTTACCACCCACTCCACACCCTCCCTCTCCCATCCACCCCCTCAATACCCAGAAGAAATTATTTTGCCCTTATCTCTATTTTGTTGAAGAGAGAGTATAAGAATAATAGGAAGGAACAAGTGTTTTTGCTGGTTGAGATAAGGATAGCTATACAGGGAGTTGACTCACATTAATTTCCTGTGCATGTGTGTTACCTTTTAGGTTAATTCTTTTTGATCTCACCTTTTCTCTAGTTCCTGGTCCCCTTTTTCTATTGGCCTCAGTTGCTTTTAAGGTATCTGCTTTAGTTTCTCTGCGTTAAGGGCAATAAATGCTAGCTAATTTTTTAGGTGTCTTACCTATCCTTACCCCTCCCTTGTGTGCTCTCGCTTTTATCATGTGCTCAAAGTCCAATCCCCTCGTTGTGTTTGCCCTTGATCTAAAGTCCACATATGAGGGAGAACATACGATGTTTGGTCTTTTGGGCCAGGCTAACCTCACTCAGAATGATGTTCTTCAATTCCATCCATTTACCAGCGAATGATAACATTTCGTTCTTCTTCATGGCTGCATAAAATTCCATTGTGTATAGATACCACATTTTCTTAATCCATTTGTCAGTAGTGGGGCATCTTGGCTGTTTCCATAACTTGGCTATTGTGAATAGTGCCGCAATAAACATGGGTGTGCAGGTGCCTCTGGAGTAACCTGTGTCATAGTCTTTTGGGTATATCCCTAAGAGTGGTTCAGAGCTCAGTTCCTACGAGCAGGTCAAGGGTCAGTCCTAGATAGAGCCCTTTCTTGGGAATATGCAGGGTGTATCTCGCCAGACCTGCTGAGCTAACTCTTTCCTCTACAGGGATCCAACTTCATTCTTTTGTGTAAAGATATCTAACTGTCCCCATTTTATTTGTTGAAAAGATAATTTTTCCCTTTGAATTGTTTTAACACCCTGTTAAAAATCAACTGGCTGTAAATTTGAGGATTTATTTCTAGACCCTTAGTTCTATTTCATTGACTCTATGTCTATCCAATGGCAATATATCCTCAGAATCTCTTAATATTTGTAAACTATGGTAAGGTCTCCCTTTTCATTGTTAATCTGGTAATCTGTGTCTAATTTTTTTTCCCTTGATAAGTCTTTCTAGTCATTTGTTAATTTTTTTATTTATTGAACAGCTATTGTCTTTGTTGCTCATCATCCAGACTTCTTGTCTGTTTCATTAATGTAAATAATTAGATACCTGTTTTAGTCCCTTCTACTTTTAAGAGGCTTAATTGTGGTTCTTTTTATAAATTCATAATGAATGTAAGATGGGTATTACTTCCAGCCTCTTGAGTTTTTAGTGTATGCATCCAAAGCTGTTACTTCAGCTTTCAGCCTTCTCCTACTTCCTCTGTGCCTGAATATATAGTATTTTCATTTTTACTCAAATGGAGTTTCCCCATTTGCTTGTTTTAAATAAGAGTTTCCTTCTTTTCCTTCAGTTCTGATTAGAAAAGCAGTATAAAATTATCAACCAGTTCTCCAAGGTAAAAACACATTGAAACCTGTCTGTGACATTAGGGAAGTGCAATGCATGTGAGGCCCTCATAGAGTGGGACTTTAAGCAGTTTGCTGCATTCTCTTCCTGCATTTTCTTAATTCAGTTTGCCAGTCTTATTTAACAAGTGGAACTTGGAAGATTGGTGGAGTGGCTCAAGTGGTAGAGCACCTGCCTAGCAAGGGCAAAGCCCTGAGTTCAAACAGTCCTGTCCCCCACTGCACCCCACCCCACCCCCGCAAAAAAATTTAAAAACAAGTAGGACTTGGGCTACAAAGTTTTGCATCTTCTTTTTTCTTTTGTAGTTAGCATCATACTTGCTTTCTTGAATCTTTTCTTCTCCATTTAGGAAAGGTGTGCCCTGTTTGAGTTGGGTGCATCCCTGTCCTCAAGGTAGGGCGTGATGAGGTCAGACCCAGGCCAGTACAGACAGTACTGGGGTCGCTGCTCTGGGGAAGGTGTGGTGAGGCAGAGCCAGCCACATTTGGGAAGAAGAGAGGCAAGGAGAAGGCTATGGATGAGGAAGAGACAGCCTCCTGGGCAGTGAAGGGCTGTCCTTGTCACCTTCTAGCCACTGAAAGTTACATCCCCTGCAGGTGATCGCCATGATCAAAGGCCTGCAGGTGCTGATGGGCAGGATGGAGAGTGTGTTCAACCATGCCATCCGGCACACCGTCTATGCTGCTCTGCAGGACTTCTCCCAGGTGACCCTCAGGGAGCCGCTGAGACAGGCCATCAAGAAAAAGAAGAACGTCATCCAGAGGTCAGCCTCTCAGACTTGCCCATGCAAGCCTTGCTCAAAAGTTGTAAGAGGAACTTGGGTTCAGACATCTCGAGAGTTAATTTTCATAGACTCAGTGTTTATCTTTAAGCCCCAAGCATGCTGCTGGTGAATGACATCTACATAGCACGTGGTAGCTCCCATTAGTAACCCACATAACTAACAGTAAGTCAACTATACGGTATGTAGGCGTTTGGAGACCAGGGTTGGTGTATTCTAACACTTGGCGTTTAAGGATATGAGGCTGCACATTCCATTCCCCTTCTTCCTGCCTGCCTTACAAGTCTGTCAGAAATGACGCAGGTGTTATAACAATCTAACATCATTTCTTGAGCTTGTTCTCTCTTAACATGAGCCTTTTAGACAAAGTTGTCTTTCAAAGATGGCTATGTAAAATGAAGCCTACTAGGACTTATGAATGTATGTTCTTGTTTATTTATTTTATGCTTTGTAGTTGATGTGTTTGTCACCTAGAATAGTATAATTTTTAGCATTAATAAAATTTTATACTGGTTGAACAACCTAATCCAAAAATCTGAAATGAGAGAATGCTTTTTTCCTGTTTGTGGTGCTGGCTGTGAAAACCAGGGCCTTGTGCATGCTAGACAAGCACTACACTGAGCTCTATCCCAAGCCCCCCGGGTTCCAAAACTTTTGGAGTGATGACATAATGGCACAAGTGGAAAATTCCATTTATTATATAATTTTATATTGCACAGAATTATTTAAAATACTACATAAAATTACCTTCTGGAAAACTATGGGCCACTAATGAGTGGTACCAGAGGCTCCAGGGGAGGGAAGGGTGAAGAGAGGCAGTGCAAGAGATTTTGTGGGGAGTGAAATTATTCTGTATGGGCACTGCAATGGTCCTTATACACTTGCCAAAATCCTAGAATGAATGCCAAGAGTGGACCATAATATAAACTGTAGCCTAGCTAATAATATATTGATATTGGTTCATCTTTTGCAACACGTGTACTACACCAATGGATGTGATGATGGGACGGGAAAGGGGAAACTGTAGTATGGGAAAGGAAATATTTTGGGTTTTTTTTTTTTTTTTTTGTAGTCGTAGTAGTGGGGATTGAATTCAGGGCCTCACACTTGCTATGCCTCTACCACTTGAGGCCCTCTGCCACCCCTAATATTTGGAATTCTCTGTATGCTCTGTGATATTTTTCTGTAAGCCTAAACCTACTTAAAATAAGTATTATTTTTAAGCAGTTTTGTGAGTGAGATTTTTGTGAGATGGAATGGATTTTAAATTACCACATTGACAAGTCTCAAGGTTTTAAAGGAACTAGGTTCTTATATTAAATGGATGAAGCCAGGACACAATGAAAGTGGTTTTTCACTTTTGTGGGGGGAGGAAGCAGGCTGAGAGGACCATTCCATTGCAGACTCACTTTTCTTGTGAAAAGAGAACTGTAACTCAGGACAGGGCCAAAGGCATGAGAACAAGCCCTGGGCAAGACTTGAGGAGTTCCTGTCCCTCCCCAGGTGTTCCGTCTGCCCCAGGACCTGACTTGTGTGACTAGGAGCTGGACCTCAAATCTGAGCCCTAGCCCTAGTGGATGAGGCTCTTGGTTTCTTGGGGTAGGCATCAGTGGATCTTGCATATTGGAGAAATGTGTGTCCTCATGGCCGAGGGTGAGGTATGACAGAGCAGATTTTAAAAAAAAAATGGCTACAGTGAGGCTTCCCATCCCATGTGCATTTCAACATGACCTGAAACTCCTCCCATCAAGTACATCTTTAAGTCTGAGGGGCCTATGATTTATTTACTTGTGTCCAAAAGAAGAATCATAAGCCACTTCCAGATCTATGTCAGAAAGGGGCTACAGCCACTGCCTTGTTCTCTGGGACCCTCACACTGGGAGCCTTGAGCCCACTAAGCAAGAATCTGACCTCCTGAGACCCATCCCCTCCCCAGTGCCCTGAAGAGGCCAAGGCACACAGAATGCATATTAGTGTGTTAATCTTTGTAACAGATCACACAGACTATGTGGTTTAAAATACACACATAGCCACACCTGTAATCCCAGCACTTGGAAGAGTGTGGCAGTAGAGTGGTCATTTTGAGTCCAGCCTGGGCTGTATAACAAGACCCTATCTCAAATGTAAAATGAAAAAATCTTCCTGCTATGTATATAAGATGGTGCTTATGAAACATTAGTTAGTCTCATGCTTAGATTTGGGTCCTATCCCCAAGAAAACATCCTATGTATGTGCAAATATTCTAAATTCTAAAAGACCTGAAATCGGAAATATTTCTGGTCCTAGCATTTCAGATAAGGGGCACTGGATGTACATTGTGACATTAGTTGATTTTCTGTCTCTTTGAGGGCTTCACTGAGGTTTTCATTTCCCTTGCTGCCATTTTGCTCATGGTTGCACTCATCAAAAACTCTGTGTGTTTTCTAGGCAGTGTCCAGATACTTACTCCTGAGCATCTTGCCTGGCCTTGAGGAGATAGTCTTCAGAGACAGGAAGAAGAGAGTTCTTGTCCTTGACAAAGAACAGACACCCAGCCAGAGTGTGGAATGGGTAGTGTGGCCTAAGAGTACCTTGGGTTTAGGTAGAGCTTTCTCTTCCAGGTGACCAGGGCCAGCATGAGGTGTCTCTGGTCTTTGTGTGCCACCTTTGGGGGCCTCCATACATTAGAGCCCTGTTGGGCAATGGGATCACATTCCCAACGAGTATGGATATATGCCTACTGCCCTATTGGAACTCAGGCAGGTAGAGCTCCCTATCCTCGGCATGACCTGAAGAGTGTTTAGGAAGTAAAACATTGCTTCTGGCTAGAGATGCAAACTGCAGCTAAGTTAAATCTTTTGGAAACAGTCATGTTTCTAAGGATACAATCTGCATTTTTAAATTTCATGTTGAAGTAAACTATTATGTCCCTCTACCATCCCCAGAGGAATTTATTTATGTTTGTGTGTTCGCTATTCTGAGAGACTGTTTTAAGTGAGGAGATGCTATGATTGTAGAAATCCCTCTAACTTGATGGGGCCATTCAGTGTCCTACAGGCCATCAGGAAGACTGTGTGTGACTGGGAGACAGGGCACGAACCCTTCAATGACCCAGCCCTGCGGGGCGAGAAGGACCCCAAGAGTGGCTTTGACATCAAAGTGCCGCGCCGCGCCGTGGGACCCTCCAGCACTCAGGTTCTCCTCCCCTCTGCCCTGTATCTGGGCTGGGTCAATCCTGGGTTGAGAAGGGGGCAGATGAGACAGGAGTGAAGATGAAGTCATCACTGTCTACCCAGGCAAATCCTGTTGTGCCTGTGGCTTTTCTGATATCCCCCTGTGATTCTCTGGTTTGTTCAATTACCTTTAGAAGTGAATAGATTCCATTTTAATTTCTGTGGCCCAAATACAGATTTATGTATTTATACTATGTTTCTTATTGGGTTCTTAAATATTTGATTGCAATTTTTATGTTGGGTCTATAATTGAGCATTCCTAAAGATGAAACCATGGGAGATTGTGCAACATTGCTTTTGTGTGTTCTGGTCTTAAGCCCCCTTTGCTGTTCTCTCTCCCAGTGTGTCCAGGTGTTCCCTGAAGTGCTTCTCACTGACTTAATATGATTTAATATTCTCCTTTGCTTTTTTTCCTGGTACTTCTTACTCATCTCTCTTCTAGAGACTTTATAATCTCTTCTGTCAGTCTTCTGGAATGTTACCAGCAAAGCATGTGGCTGGCTTTTTATGGAACCTCTTGAATGTTGGGAGGAAGACAGTTGGCCCATCCGTAGGGGAAAGCCCTCCAGGGTCTGTGTGAGGTGCATCGTACACACTGTCCTCCCCACCTCCATCCTGTGTGTTTGTCCCTGTGTCCTCCACCCAAGCATGTGTGTCATGTGACTAATGGCTTTCTCCCACCTCTCCCTCCCTGTCTGTCTGTGTCTAGCTCTACCTGGTGCGCACCATGGCCGAGTCCTTGAGCTCTGCCGAGCTGCTGAGGCAGCTCAAGTCTCTGGGCATGGAAAGGCTCTTGCATGTGGTAAACGCGTTTCTGAGGCAGTCGTACAACTATCCACCTCTTTTAACCTTTGGTGGTAAGACATAATTTGTTTTTCTGGTTGATGTTTATGGCACAGAGGTGAACTGCTCCAATACAAGTTGTTCTTCCCACAACCAACAAAAAGCTGGCCACTTAGACAGGCACCCAGACCACCCTGGAGGAGCCTGACAGGCTGAGAGCTCAGACGTGGGGCCAGTCAGGGCTTAGTGGAGCAGTCCTTCTCTGGTGGTTTGTCTGAGTTTGGCATAACTAATGTACCATGTGTATTTTCTCCCCTGTAAATGTTTTCCTTGGATAATACAGCTTTACATGGTGAGAACCATGCTAGAGTCCCTCATTGCAGACAAAAGTGGTTCCAAGAAAACCTTGAGAAGTAGCCTTGAGGGGCCCACCATATTGGACATAGAAAAATTTCATCGAGAATCATTCTTCTACACTCACTTGATAAATTTCAGTGGTAAGAGACAGTGCTGACTAGAATCCGGCCTGGCATGCTCTAACACTGCTAACACCATGTAGGATGCTTCTGCCTGCCTGACCATTCCCTGCCCATTCCTTCCAGGCACCCACACAGTGACATGTTCTAACCTTTGTGGTGGTGGCCAGACATCCTGAGGCTTCCCCAATGTTCTTGCTGTCCTTGGCCTCTGCCATAGTGTCTGTGGGGCACAGACCACAGGACAAGGACCATGGGACTGTGATTGGCCCATACAGCATGAACACAAAGTCTTTCAGTCCACACGAGGTCAGGAACACAGGCAAATATAACCTGCAACCTGGATTGAGACCCAGGCTTTGATAAATACAGGAAGGGCCCCCATTGAAATATACAGGAAGGTGGCAGAATGCCCTGAGCCAGGCACACTGGTGCTACCCCCACTTGATGACCCCAGCCACTTTTGACCTGGCACTGATGGATGCTGTCTGCCTGTGACCTTGTGGAGTGATCCTTAGCTCAGAGAAGGAGTCCTCTGCCTTGACGAGGTACTGTGGGTATTGGAGTAAATAATAATGCTTTTGCTGTTAGCTTCAAGAAAGGACGGAGCTTTTTTTTTTTTTTGTAATGTCTCTAGTTTTGCATTAGCTACACATCCCCTGAGTGTATATGCAATGCTATATTGCTATGTCTTGGACATTGGTGTTTTTCCAAAGTAAATAAAAGTACAGGTTGACTACCCCTTATCTGAAATGCTTGGGTCCAGAAGTGTTTTGGATTATGAATATTTTTGGATTAGAGAGATCTTGGGGACGGGACCAAAATCTAAACACAGAAGTCCATTGTTTCTCATACATACAGTCTGAGGGTAATTTCATATAGTCACGTACTGCATAATGACATTTTAGTCAACCTCAGACCACACACATGGCTATGGTCCTGTAGGATTTTATCACATATTGACTTGTAATCATCTTAGTTTATGTCAGCCCATCAGTACATGCTGTGATGTTCATTCAGTGACAGAGGCCCCTAATACTGTGCTTCTTCCCACTTTGTCCCTATCATTAAGCTTCATGGAACTATGCAGTATTCTTGGGGCTGCATTCTGATTTCAATCCGTTGTGTGAGACCAGGTTTGGAATGTTCCACTTGTGACATCTGGTGGGAACATAAGAAGCTTCAGATTTAGGGCCTCTGATTTTTGAGTTAAGGATGCTCAACCTGTATTCTTGTTTTAACTTCTCCTTTTCAAAATGACATTTTCCCCTTCATCCTGCCAAGAAAGATTGACTAGGTCCCTGCTGGTGGGAGAATGCTGACTGCCCAGAGTTCAAAGGGTCCAGGCACCTGCCATACCCATGAGTCACGCCTATGCTGGTCTTGTTCCTCCTGTGAGGTGCCCGGTGACCCCTTCCTGCTCATGTCCTTGCTGCATGGCTCAGGGCTGATCATACAGGAGCCAGTGCCTCGCACGCAGCCCCTCATGTATTATTGTCTGTGCTGAATCATTTTCTACTTGGTTCTGCAAGATAACATGGTGTTGTTTGAATCCTTCAAGAAACACTGCAGCAGTGCTGTGACCTTTCACAGCTGTGGTTCCGAGAGTTCTTCCTGGAGCTGACCATGGGCAGGAGGATCCAGTTCCCCATTGAGATGTCCATGCCCTGGATCCTGACTGACCACATCCTAGAGACCAAGGAGGCATCCATGATGGAGTGAGTGTCCTCTTGGGCTTTTGGTGACCCAGAGTCTTTAAAGGCATATGTTAGCTTGGGTTAAAGGAAGGGGCTGGGACTGTTTAAAGTATTTCATTGGAAGTCATGTTGCCTGTTTTAAAACGTTGATAGCGGCTTTCACTTATAATCCTAGCTACTCAGGAGGTGGAAATAGGGAGAATCGTGGTTCAAGGCCTGTTTGGGCAAAATGTTAGCCAGACCCCATCTCAATTAATAAGCCAGAAGTGGTGGGCACATGACGGGGCTCCCAGATACACAGGAGACATAGGTAGGGGGATTGTGATCCAAGACCAGCCCCAGGAAAAAACTTGAGACCTTATTCAAAAAAATAACTAAGCAAAAAAAAAAAAAAAAAAAAAAAAAAGGGTGGGGGGTGGGGGGCTGGAGCTGTGCTTAGAAAACATCTGCTTAGAAAGCACAAGATCCTGAGTTCAAACTTCAGTACCACCAAAAACCAAGTAACAAGTTTTTATGGCTTCAGATTGAAATCAGGAGCTTAGGCAATAGAAGTGGTCAAGTTCCTACTTTGCATGAGTGCTGGGTGAGGCCCTGGGGACACGGCCTGGATCAGGGAGTTGAGATGGGTTAGTGCAGCAGGGTCAGTCTTTCAAAATATGACTTCTGTGGAAGGGAAAGCCATAGAATGAAGGGTGCTGTGTGAACAGTTGGAGACCAGACAGGCAGGTTGGTTCTTTGCAAGTCAGTCCTTACAGGTCCCTTGTAGTGTCTGGATTTTGGTCAGGATGATTGCCATCCATTGTCTGTAGTGGTCAGAAACCCCTTACACAGCAGTAGGGTACTGCCGAACCCCACTGCAGACTCAGGGTCCTACCTGCTCAACAGCTCCTTCAGAGGCCTCTGGCTGCTGCCTTTTGTCCCCATTTGAGAAGGAGATGTGCTTTTGGCCCAAGTCTCAACATGGGACATGTTTGTGGTCAGCTGTGAGATTAAGGACATACATTTAGTTTTTTTTGTTGGTTTTTTTTTTGCAGTGCTGGTATTTGAACTGAGGGTCTCGCACTTTTATTAGACAGTACTCTACTACTTTAGCCATGGCCCCAGCCTGACAGTTCATTCTTAATATAAGAAGATAAACTTTTTAACTTACCTTTTTGATTGGCACATGGCAGTTGTCCATATTTATGGAGTACAATGTGCTACTCTGATACATGTATATATTAATGTATCGAATCAGGGTCATTAGCTTATCTATCACCACAAACATTCATCATTTCTTTGTGGTGAGAATATTTCAAATCCCTCTGTTAATTTATCTTGAAATATCCTTTATGTTATTGTTAATTATAGTTCACCTTCTGTGCAATAGATCCTCAGAACATAAGTTTGTTGCCAAAGAACATTCTGAATACTTGTAGTAAAAAAGTTAAAGACAAGTGAGAAGACTCAGGTAGGTGGAGGTCCTCGTCTGTGTGCTCTTCCTGGGCCTGTCCCTCTCTGGGATTGGCTGTCCAGTTGTCCCCATGCCTTCCCTGACTTGGCAAGGGGTAGCAGTCCCATAAGGTGCAGCTGCCAGCAGCTCTCTGCAAGAACACAATTTGGCATGTGAAGTAAGCAACTGCTTTTCCTCTTGTGAGAGCCGAATTCTCCAGGAGGAGGAGATTATAAAGGCTGCTAGCCAGTGGTATGGGAGCTGGGCAGTGACCGCTGTCCACACGCTGCAGGTACGTCCTCTACTCCCTGGACCTGTACAATGACAGTGCCCACTACGCGCTCACCACGTTCAACAAGCAGTTTCTCTACGACGAAATTGAGGCAGAGGTGAGGTCCAGCACCTTGGCTCCTTTTAATTTCTCTTTATTGAATTTCCTTTTTTTTCCTATTTCTCTGAGTACTAATGGAATTAAACTTTAAAAAAAAAATACAAGGCAGTTTAAACAGTAAGATGAGCCTTTTGGTGTGATCTTTTCTGTCTGCATCTGCCTCTTTGTCTACGCGTAGGACAGTGGTCCGATGTGCTTTTTCATTGAACAGTAAGCACTTTTTTCATCCTCATCTTCGTTTCTTACCTTTGCACTGGAACTGATCCTGTTTTATTTCCTTAGGCTTTTTTTTTTTTTTATAAATATTTGGGGGTAGTATAAATAGTACTTAGCTGAATTTCCAGGCATTTAACTTTTTTATTTGCATGGGATTATTTCTTGAGGATAAATTCCCAGTGGAATTGTCAGGGTCATGTACACATTGCTAAGGGGATGAATCTTATTTGTAGCTTAAGAAATAAATTGAGGCTTTTGTTAGAAAAACTGTTTCATTTATCTGGGAATCCTCTGCTTCCTCCCAAAAACCACCTGACAGTGTTTCTTCTTGACTCATGTCTCAGATCCCCAGTCAATTTAAGGTGAGCTAAAGGGCAGAGACATCCCTGCTGGCTCCTTTTGCCAGGCCTGCTGGTCCACCTACTGCTGGACACACATGACCTCATCACAGTTCCAGTGTGTGTGTGGAGGGGTGCTAGCCCTGCTGAAAGTAAGGGTATGGTTTAGGAGTTTTCTTGGATTAACCAGTGCGTTCATTCCTGCTCCAAGGGAAGCCTTGGAGGTGCTCTCAGACATTGGCTCCTGAAAAGCACAGCTAATGGCAGGAGAGAACCTCAGACAATGCACATTAACCCCCCAGAAGCACATGGTGAAAAGAGACTTTTCGTATTTATTTGTGTTTGAGAGAACAGGGATGTTTTTTTCTGTCAGTAAGAATGGTTCTAACACAGTTCCAACTATGATGGTATAGTGATCACCTCTAATGTATGCTTTTTTTGCCATCAGGTGAATTTATGTTTTGACCAATTTGTTTATAAACTGGCAGATCAGATATTTGCATATTATAAAGTTATGGCAGGAAGGTAAGTAACTGATTTGTGGTTCTTATACAAAATCTTGGATAATTTGATCTGACATTTCCATTAAGTCACAGTGTGCAAAACATGTCCTGTTTTCCTTCCTCTGTACCAGTTTGCTTCTTGATAAACGGTTACGATCGGAATGCAAGAATCAAGGAGCCACGATCCACCTCCCCCCATCTAACCGCTATGAGACGCTGCTGAAGCAGAGGCATGTACAGGTGAGTCAGGCGTATGCATTGGAAATACTGGGGTTTTTTAGAGCCTTGCTTGCTAGGTTTGAAAGGATAGCAATGTGTTACATGACTGTGTGAATGTTCTAATAAAGTGTTAAGATTTTTTTTTCTCTTTTTTTTTCCTTTTCTTGAGCTGGGATCTCACTATGTTGCACAAGCCTGTCTCAAACTCCTGGGCTCAAACCATCCTCCCACCTCTGCCTCCTGAGTACTGGGACTGTAGGTGCACACTACTGTGCCTTGCTTAAAAGTGTTAAATTTTTAAACATAATTTGAACTGAATACCCTTAAATACAGAAGAAAACTTATGGCCCCATGAGATTATATCATCTGACCTGAGAATGTGGCTTGTTGTCAGAGCTAATGGCTTGCATTTGTGTGAGGCCCTGGCTTCAATTCTCAGCACTGTAAAAGGAAAAAATAAATAACATTTCTGTATCATGTAGGAAGGCATAGCTGTTTTAGTTCATGTAAATATGCTCTCTGATGTTCATACCATGACAAAAAAAAAAAAATCACCTAATCATGCATCCTGATGTTAAGCAATGCATGCCTGCATAATATACCTCACAAAAACAATAGAAAAATTTAGAAAACAATAGGAAAAATTCTACTGTTTGTGTACATGTAACCACCACCATATACATTGTGAGATATTTCATCAGGACTTTGCTATATTTTTGTCATTCAAATGACATTGAGACAGACGAGTTCTTACCACCCTGAGATAGAGATTGATGAGTTCTCTTACTGATAATCTTAACTCCTGTGAAATGTTACGATGTACCCAGGCCACTCTCTGTGGTGGTAGATGGATCCTGCATACTGCCTATCATACCTGTGTTGTAACTGACAGAACCAAATACACCAAGGGCACTAGGGAGGCTTAGGTTTTCTTTCCATGATTTAAGTGTGAATTCAGTGCAGAGAACACTATAAAAGTCCTTTAAGGGTTTGATTTGCAGAATTTCAGCTCCAGGAAAGTAAGACATTTGGTTAAGATACCTGATACATAATTTTTTCTAAAATGCTTACATTAATATACTCTCTCTAAATAGTTTTGTTGTTGTTGTTGTTTGTCTTGTCTTTTGAAGTACGTTTCTGGGGTATTTCTTGTTGTTCCTTGTTTGCTCTTTGTGATTCACAGATTTTCAGTTTTATTCTTTTCCCTGACATCACTCATCCTTTCCCTCCCTCCAGCTCCTTGGCAGGTCAATAGACCTCAATCGTCTGATTACGCAGCGTGTCTCAGCAGCCATGTATAAGTCTCTAGAACTAGCAATTGGACGATTTGAAAGTGAAGATTTGACATCAATAGTTGTAAGTACCAGAACTAATTTTCCTGTCATCCCTGTTGATAAATTGAACTAATAGTAGGTCCAGTTCTTCTGTGGATCTAAAAGATTGGCATATATCAAGTATCCTTTCAGCATCTATTCTTAGTATTTAGAGTTCAAATCAACTTTAAAGAGCAAAAAAATCCTATTTTTTTTTTTTTTGGGTGCTACTGGAGTTTGAACTAAAAGCCTCATGCTTGCTAAACAAACACTCTACCCCTTTAGCCACTCCACCAGCTCTGTTCTGTTTTGAGTATCTTTGAGATAGGGTCACTTGAACTATTTGCCCGGGCTGACTTTGAACTGCGATCCTCCTGATCTCTGCCTCCTGAGTAGCTGTATTATAAGTGTGAGCCACCAGCACCTGGCTAAAAAATCCTAATTTTGAGTATTCTACACCTAAGGCAAAAGATAGTACATGACTTAATTCAATAACATGCTATTTTTTGTCAGTACTTGGGATTGAACCTGGAGCCTTGTGCTTGCTAATAGCGCTCTACCCTGAGCTGTATCTCCAGCCCCTAACATGCTTATTTTCATAGTAGGAATGAAATAGTAGATAAAAACATTTTTAACTCTTTAGCAAAATAATCTCAAAAAGGTACACATTTTTGTAAATGAACTTGACATGATTAAAATGATACAGAGAGCTCTACAAAACAAAGTCCAATACAGAGAAGGATGATGTCAATTGACTAATTGTTTGGGTGGTTTTTTTGTTTTGTTTTTGTTTTTTTGATAGGGAAATTGAGCCCAGGGCCTCACCCATGCTGACCACATGCTGTACCACTGAGACAAATAATAAATATTATTTCCCCAGTCAGTCTTTAGATTTTATGTACTGTCTGCTAGATTGTAAGTATTTTATAGTCAAAATTTGGTAGTGTAATTTTTTTTTTTTTTGCAGTACTGGGATTTGAACTCAGGGCCTCACGCTTGCTAGGCAGGCACTCTGCCATTTGAACCATTCCCCCAAGCCCCGGATAGTGTAATTCTGAAGTTTACTTGATAAAATACAACTGTTAAGATTTTCAAGTGCTACTCTGATTTTGAGAAGATGAATGAGGATAGGCTAACCCTGTCAGATATCACAAATAACCAAATCAGATCAGCAAGAACTGCTTTTCAAAATCAAAACTAATCAGGGGAACAAAACAGAATAGGGTACTCAAATTGGAAAGGTGGGAAAGGCTGGGTGACCCAAGCTCTTTACAGAGAGGAAAGGCAGAGGCTACCTCCATAAGACTCAGCATCTGGTCTGGGGGAACAAACAGAATAGGATGCTTAACCGGGAAAGGTGGGAAGCAGTCATGCTGGGAGTGACCCAGCCCCTCTACAGAGAGGAATGGCAGGATGTACCCTCTTTAGATTCAACCTCTGGTCCAAGGTGGGTGTGGTGGCTCATGCTGGCCAGCAATCCTTTGAAGGATGCCCAGAAAGGTTGAGTGAATAAAATGCAGAAATCCAAATGGGAAAACCCTCCCAACTGTGAGTCTATTAGGATCCAAGGTGCTGCAGTCCCACAGAGCACAAACCTCTCAACTGAGTTGGGGCTTCACCTGCTTTCCACATGGTAATGCCAGCTTTTGACAGGTCTAGAGGTTGGGAATCTAATAGGCCTTGTTGAGGGGGCTGAAAAAGTATAGAGAAGTATAGAGCTTTGGGCAGTTTTGAGGCCGCAAAACAGTGCTGCAGACTGGATTGCACTTGGACATGTGGTGGGTCCCCTTGGAGAAATCTGCCAGATTCTAGTACATTTTTCTTAGCATCACAAGGTTCTTCCTCTCCTTCGTTCAGGGAGCTCTGGGTCTGGACATTATTTTGAGTAGCAACAATTCATCTCCTGATGATTCACTTCTATTCAGTGTGCTAGAGTTTTCCCCTTTATTAGATCAAAGGCTTACTGTTTCTTCCAGTCCTAGGAATTCCGTGATCTATGAGCCAGTGCCAGGATCTCTGGGAGTCAAACCATTTGAAAACACTGCCCACTGTTTGGTCTCATTCAACTCAGGGTGCCCCTTTACATGGCTCTGGTCCACCAGAGAGTAACTTCTGTAGGTCTCTTTAAGGATGCTTGAGATGAGAGACGGTTGATGGTTCTAGAAGACCTAGCCCTGTAGAGTCCAGAGTTTCATGAATCAAAATTCCCTCCAAGAGGGAGATGCTACTGTGAATGCCTTGCAGCCTGATAACAGTTAGAGATGGTAGAGTGAAGAAAAGTCCTGATATAATTAGGGGAAGGAGCATAAGAGATACTTCAGGATGTGTGAACTATTGTGCTGTAGAGGCTCAAAGGTAAAAGTGATTGTCTTGCTGTCTTAGTCCACTTTGAATTTCTATAACAAAATACCTGAGAGTAGATACTTTATAAAGAAGAACAATTTATTTAGCTCTGGAGGTCCCAGAGCATGACTCTTGCATTGGCTTCTGGAGACACTCATGGCACATATAATCATGCGACACTTACATGTGTAAGAATGACACTGTAATATTCAGCGTTCCATAATGGTGACAAAATACCTAAGAAAAACAACTTATATGGAGGAAAGGTTTAGTTTGGCCCATAGTTTGAGGTTTCATTCCATGGTCAGCTGGATCCGTTGGTTTCTGGTCCTTGGCTGGGCAGGTTGTCATGGTAGGGAACAAAGCTGCTCACCTCATGGCAGCCAGGAAGCAGAGAAGAGCTGGGTTCCAATGTCTCCTTCAAGGGCATACTCCCAATGACCTAACTTCCACTCAGCCCCACCCCTTAAAGGTTCCACCACTTCCATAGAACCTGCTAACCATTTCTTCCTCAAATGCATGAGTAAATTCCTTTCACTTAACCACTAAGCCACAGATAAGGGTCATTGTCCAATCCCATTTAGATGCATTATAATAAAAAAGAGAATGGAAGTGTACAACAATGTCCCTATGGACAATGAGAGCTTATTGGAAAGATGCCCAGGAAACATGAAAATCATAATCTCATCTTTCAGAATGAACTAAAAGAAAAAGCAGTAGTTGCCATTGAAGAACAGAAATCAGAATTTTTTTAAATCCAGAAATAAGGGGATTGGAAAAATGAAAGTTTTAAAAACGGAACTCAGTGGAGAATTAAAACAAAAGAAAAGCCAACTCAAAAAAAAAAAAGAAAAAAGGAAAGATTACACTAGAAAGAACACAGTGGATAATGACTTTAGAGAAATACGAAGGAAATTATTTAAATAAAATCAAGGCACAGGAAAAGGATTTAAGCAAAAATGACGTAGAAGATAAAGAATGAAAATCCACTGTACATAATAGAGGTCCCTGAAGAAGAAAACCAAAGCAACAGAATAGAACAAAAATTACAGTGAGTATTTCAAGAAAGCTAGATAAAATAGTAGACAAGCTGGACATCGTGCTGTACCAGTGTCTTCTCAGTGCTTGGGAGCATCATGAGTTTGAGGCCAACATGGGCAATATAGTGAGACCCTGTCTCCCAAAATAAAAAAAAAAATCTCCAAGAAAAAAGAAGACTTCTTTATGTGTGTGTGTGTGTATTCATGCTTTTTTATTTTTTTTGTTTTTAATTTTTCTTGTTTTATTATTCATATGTGCATACAATGCTTGGGTCATTTCTCCGCCCTGCCCCCTCCCCCCTTACCACCCACTCCGCCCCCTCCCTCTCCCCGTACTCCCTTGATACCCGGCAGAAACCATTTTGCCTTTATCTCTAATTTTCTTGTAGAGAGAGTATAAGCAATAATAGGAAGGAACAAGGGTTTTTGCTGGTTGAGATAAGGATAGCTATACAGGGAGTTTACTCCCATTGATTTCCTGTGCGTGTGTGTTACCTTCTAGGTTAATTCTTCTTGATCTAACCTTTTCTCTAGTTCCTGGTCCCCTTTTCCTATTGGCCTCAGTTGCTTTTAAGGTATCTGCTTTAGTTTCTCTGCGTTAAGGGCAACAAATGCTAGCTAGTTTTTTAGGTGTCTTACCTATCCTCACCCCTCCCTTGTGTGCTCTCGCTTTTATCATGTGCTCAAAGTCCCATCCCCTTGTTGTGTTTGCCCTTGATCTAATGTCCACATATGAGG